CCTGCAAGGAAGCTCAGGACAGGTTACAACAAGCATTAGATGCAGAATCCACTTTCTAAAACATCCAATTAATCATTAACAATATTAACAACACCATAATAAAATCAATACAGTAATAACAGTTGAAGAGAAGAAGAGAAGAGATTGAATTTATGCCCCGCCCTTCACTACCCAAAGGAGTCTCAGAGTGGCTTTCAATCTCCTTTCCCTTCCCCTCCCCACAACAGACACCCTGTGAGGCAGGTGGGGCTGAGAGAGCTCTGAGAAAACTGCCCTTGAGAGAACAGCTCTGAGGGAGCCATGACTGACCCAAGGTCACACCAGCAGCCGCATGTGGAGGAGTGGGGAATCAAACCCGGTTCTCCCAGATTAGAGTCCATGCTCCTAACCACTCCTCGATGGTGCTTCTTCATGGCATTGTCCAATTTCCCCCCTCCATCTCCTCCCGTACAAATCCCCACATGTGCACAGATGGATGGCAATTGGTGCTGATAAGGCAAAGACAATAGCTTGTACCAGACATTCAAAGCAAGAAGAAGGAGTCAATTTACAAACTCCTTTCCCTTCCCCTCCCCACAACAGACACCCTGTGAGGTGGGTGGGGCTGAGAGAACTCTGACACAAACTGCTCTTTTTCAAGGACAGCTGTGCCAGAGCTTGTGACTGACCCAAGGTCACATCAGCAGGTGCAAGTGGAGGAGTGGGGAATCAAACCCGGCTCTCCCAGATTAGAGTCCGCCTCTCTTAACCATGACACCAAACTAGCAAGGCAATGTAGTAAAGGGGAGACCAAGTAAATAGATCTCTGCCACCTCAACCATAGGCCTGGCATAACATCTCCGTTTCATAGGCCCTGTGGAATGGCATTAAGTCCCGCAGGGCCCAGGTTTCAACAGGGAGAGTGTTTCTCCAGATACACAGATAATCTGTTCAGAATTATTTGGGTAGCCTAAAGTTTTTTTTTTTTGTTTTTTTTTAAAAGCTAGCCTGAACTGAGTTTCTGAGGAAAGTTCCTTTGGAAGTTTTATTCACTGACTTATTCTACTCCCCACCGTTCTGGGGACCCAAAGCGGCTTACGTCGTTCTCCCCTCCTCCGCTTTATCTTTACAACAACCCTGTGAGGTAGGTCAGGCTGAGAGACTGTGACTGGCCCAAGGTCACCCAGCAAGCTTCCATGGCACGAGTGGAGCTTCGAACCTGGCTCCCCCAGATACTAGTCAGACACTTTAGCTACTGCACCATGTAGGGTCTCAGTGTGCCTTTCAGCAGTGAATCAAGAAGGTCTTTGGCCTGACCCTTGCACCATTTCTGTTAGTGTTTCCAACTGTGTGACTGGCTCCATGTCCTCATTTGTTTTAGTACCTTAGTATAATCGATTTTCTGGAGTCCGTTGATTATATGGTACGGAACGCCCCTTACCGAAAGTACAGACCGGATTTGCCGCTGCACAAGAATGCTAGAAAATGGTAAGTTGGAAGCTTTTCTGAGTATTTCTTAAATGGGGTAACAGGGTTGCTATAATAGCTCAAGGTGGCTGCTTGCTGCTGAGGAGAGAGTCTTAATTCCCCGTATATATTTGATGGCAACCTATCTAAGGTTGTAGGAAAGATCAGGGGTCCAGGAGCACCTCAAAAACTAATACAATTTGTGGCAGCATAGGAGTTTTCGTGAGTCACAGATATCTGAAGAAGTGAGCAGTGTTCCCTCTAAGCTGCGTTAGTGTGAGCTAGCTCACAGTTTTCTAGCCTCCGGCTCACACATTTTAGTCTCAGCTCAGGAAGGATGGCTCCAGAGCAAACTAATGTATGCAGTAGCCAAACCGCTCGCTCACAATTTTAATGCCAGAATTTTTGCTCACAAGACTCCACAGCTTAGAGGGAGTATTGGCAGTGACTCATGGAACCTCACACCCCGCCACAAATTTTGTTAGCCTTTAAGGAAGGGAGCAGTGACTCCTGAAAACTCCTATCCTGCCACAGATTTTGTCAGTTTTTAAGGAGCTGCTGGGCTCTTGCTCTTTCCTACTGCTGCAGACTAACACGGCTAATCCATCTTGATCTGTCTAAGGTTGGGTCCTGTGGATGGTCAGACAGGAATCTTGTCTGTGCTCTGGGAAATAACCTCGCACATAACAGAACATGTGATGGGGTTGGTGGATGCTGTCAGTTTTCCAGATCTTTCTGCCTCTCGCAATGATTTATGTTTCTTATTAGCTGTTGTAGATTTTCCGGGTTGGCTTGGCATTGTAGGACCTGGCGTTTCACCTGTAGCTGTGACTGGCATCCTTAGAGGCAGGGCTATTTTTGGGCAGGAACGCACAGGAATGGAGATCCAGCTGGCTCCCACGTTGGCCACGCCCAGCAGAAACTCATTAGCGTAATAGGCCACGCCCAACAGCAGAAACTCATTAGGATTGGCTACATTAGGGGTGTGTGGCCTAACATGCAAAGGAGTTCCTGCTACAAAAAAAGGCCCGGGGTTTTGACAACAAACAAGGTAAACAGAATAACAAGCAAAAGGTGGGTGTGGCTGGATAACCACACTTCTGGTAACATGTGGGTATGGCCTGATGTGCTAATGAGCTGTGCTGTCAGGGGTGTGGCCCAATATGCTAATGAGTTCCTGCTGGGCTTTTTCTACAAAAAGAGCCCTGCGAGAGGTCTAGCACAGAAAGACAGAGTACTCTCTGTGTCAAGGTGAGAAGAAGAAATGTTAGGCAGGTGATTTATATCTACTCAGGAAAGTGGGGTAGGGCTGAGTTGTAGGAGCTCCCCAGGCTGTGACAAGATAATCTCCATCTTTCTGTGTTATACCTCTGAGGATGCCAGTCACAGCTGCTGGCGAAACGTCAGGTCCTACAATGCCAAGCATTAAAAAGACTTAACAGACACCAGAAGCATTGCTGAAGAGGCTACACAGAGAAGCTTACATAACCACAATGAAATCAAACAAATACATCAAAAATATTAAACCTGTAACTTGCCACCAACTATGAAAAGAACGTGTCAGTGAGGGTAAACAAAGCTATGAAGGCTTGATTCTTTTTGAAAAGGGTTTTAACAGCAGCAATCAGATCCATCATGTGTCCTGGAAGCAGTAATCATCAACTTCCACTAAAACAACAACACAAAATGTTTGGTCTACAGTGAGGCTGCCTTAATTGGCATTGCAGGAACTAAGCAAATAACCTTTTTTATGCAGTGCATGCGCTGGATGGTTGATCTTTTTTTATTCAGGTGTTTTGTTGTTATTTTCCCTCTCTGTTTAATGAAAATGAAAATTAATTTTCTTGTTTCTCGCAGGTGGAACTATGCAATAAATAGTATTCTTGAGGTCCATATCAGGAGGTGTGCCCACATGTGGTCGTGGAGTAACATAAGGCAACATAGGCAACTTCTGAAATGTTACAAAAATGTTTATAAAAACAAGCTGACTCAGGCAAAAGTGTCAGAAGAAACACAGAAGCAAATGCAGGTACTTGGTGTGTCTCTAGAAGGATTGAATGAGGTGAGGTGGGAAAGCTAGTCTGCCAGGAAACCCGCTGCCATAGATGGAAATACATTTCCACATATGCCCAAATATTAGTTTCTCCTCCTGTCTCATGTCTGTACGTTAAAATATTTATAATGTGCCTTCCCCTTGCCCCCCAAAGAAGGGGGCCCATGGTGAACTTGCATATCGTGCCAATGAAGCAATGTACCAAACTTGAGTCCTGGGCCCCCAGGTGGGCCTCCTGATGGCGTCTGGTTCTTTTGGCGACTTGGGGACACAGAACGTTGGACTAGACGGGCCGTTGACCGGATCCAACATGGCTTCTCTTAGGTTCTCAGTAGAGATCATTATCCAAAAAACAACCAACAATCAAGCAGTGGTTAGCCAAAAGCCCTCTTGATCCCTCTAGCGTGTTCTTCTTAAAGGAGTGAGCTCCCAGAAGAGATCAGGGCCCTGCGGGACCTTCTACAGTCCCGCGGGGCCTGCAAGACGGAGCTCTTCCGCCAGGCTTTCAGCTAGGAGCCACCACCATCACCAGCATTGTCACCATCACTTTAATAGCAACAGAAGCTTATAGAGCCCGGTGCCTGGTTTACTACTGACAGCCTGTGCCCACCCAGCGTCTACGGGAAGATCAATGAGCTGAATACTCCAATAACCTATAGCGTGTGTAACGCCCTCTCCTTAACAGCAGAACCCTTCTGCTAGCACCTTGATGCGCTTTTAATGAATTGTTTTAGAAATTTTATGATATCTGAATGTTAGTATGCTTTTATTTGTGAAGGCTCGCCCTGAGCCTGCTTAAGCGGGGAGGGCGGGGTACAGATTTGAAGAAATAAAAAAAATAAAACAAGGTTGGCAAGGTAGAGAAGCTTTGGCCCTCCAGTGAAAGACCGCTCCGCAGGGCTGGAGACATTGGCAAAAAAGGCTAGCCAATGGGCCGCCACCTTCTTAGCTCGTTGACTCCGTAGTAAGCACTCAGCATGCCCTTTGTCAGGAAGCCTGTTTCTTCTGAAACAGTGAACTTGGCTTAGTAGGTGAGACCTGGCCCAAAGGGATTTTACCCTGCAGATGTGCCTCCCAGAAGGCTTGGGTCAGGAAGGAGGGTGGTACCGACGCACACAAATGGGTGGACTTCACTTGGACACACTTTCAGAGCATTAAAGTGTGTTTGTCTGTTTGCTCCTCAGGATTTAGAAAAAAATCTAGACGTCTTCAATATCGTTTTAGCACGGCAGCAAGCACAAGTCGAGGTACGTTCTGCAGCTTGCCTTCCCCATGTTCATTTCATAAACACAACGCTAGAAGATAGGCAGGGGTCTGAATATGAGTCATGCCCCACTTTCTCCCTGCCAGATCAGTTTGGAAACCATTTGTTTTTAAATTTAAGTAAATGATGGCCTAGAGAACTTAGACTGGTGGTCTTTGAAAAAAGACAACAGCCGTCTCAACCAGTGTGCTGTCACTCAATGTCAGACTCTTGAACAAACTTGCTCTCAACAACACTCTCTTTGCAGTGATTTGTTTATTGAGAGATGAGGCTTTATCAAGCTAAGTCCATCTTGTGTCAGAACTGACTCTTTTGGCGCCAGTCTGGGTATTATACATGATTCAAACGAGCCCCCCCCCCGTGACCCATCCAATCCATTCATACAGCAGCAGCTAAATCTAGCGCGCTTCGTTAGCCTTCCTCCCCCCACCCGCAAACCTACAGTTACACTATCTACTGAGGCCGGCTAGTGGAGACTGGCATTCAAGGTCATCGTACATTCTTCCCAGCTCGGGAGGCTCACTTGGAAAGCAGTTATAAATCAGCACAGCAAAGACATTCTCAGACACTCACCCACAAGCTGCCCCCCTATTCCCCATAGCGAAGAAACAGCGCATTACAGGTGCAGTACAGGCCATAAAACATAACATGAGAAATCTATGGCAAATGAGGACTCGAGTTTGACACTCAGACGTAGTCTTTAAATTTGCCTTAGGCCTGTTCCTTTAAGTGTCAGTTTTGTGTTTCATTAAAAAAAATTATCTATTTTTATTTACTGTATTTATATCGCACCTTTCTTCACCCCAATGGGGACCCAAAGCAGCTCACATCCTTCTCCTCTGCCCCATTTTATCATCACAACAACCCCGCAAGGTAGGTTAGGCTGGGAGCGCGTGACTGGCCCAAGGTCACCCAGCAAGCTTTCAAGACACAAAGTGAGGATTCGAACCTGGATTTCTTAGATCCTAGTTTGACGCTTTAACCACTGCAGCACGCTGGCTCTGTTATAAGCATTGGGGTGTTTGAAGCAACGGAATCTTTACTTCTCATGCGTTTTCTTATTGGTGTTTGGTCATAGGTTATAAGGTCGGGACAAAAGTTACTGAGGAAGAAGTCCACTGATGCAGAGAAAAAAGGAGGCGGTTGGTTTAGTGGACTGTGGGGCAAGAAGGAGTCTAAGAAAAAAGAAGACGAAGAAGAGCTGTCCGTTCCTGAAAGTAGGTTTGAACTTAAAGCTAACGTCCGTATGCTTGCTGCTTAATTTAATCCTCTTTTCCACCCTAAGACTTGTTCATGTGTCGTGATGAGCAGAGGTTTGCTCGTGATGGGCATGAGCGCAGCATGTTGTCATGCTTTCAATTCTCTTCCTCCCTCCACCCCCTTGTGCACAGAGTGAAACGGAAGGATTCAAACCCTAGTTTGCCATAATCTCCGAGTGTAGGTCCCTGGACAAAACTGGAGTTTGTTTACACCCCGGAAGCTGGGAGGCTAATCCTCGGGCAAGCACAGAAAGCGAGGTGCTGCCATAAAGGGTTCTGCAGCAGATGAATAATGTTAACGTGCCAGTGGAGAGCTTGGCAAAAATGGCCATTCTGTGCCTGATAGGATAACTGTTGACACCTCTTGATACTAGACTTGGGGTCTACAATGTAGTGCCCATGGGCATCGTGGTCCCTGCTGGCACCTTTCCTGGTGCCCGCCAAGAAGAGGAAGAGGTTGGTTTTGTATCCTGCCCTTCACTACCCGAAGGAGTCTCAGAGCAGCTTACACTCCATTTTCCTCCCCACAACAGACACCCTGCAAGGTAGGCGGGGCCCAGAGAGCTCTCTCTCGAGGACTGCTCTTGAGGGAACAGCTCTGAGAGAACTTGTGACCGACCCAAGGTCACCCAGCTGGCTTCATGTGGAGGAGTGGGGAATCAAACCCAGTTCTCCCAGATTAGACTCCACACTCCTAACCATGACACCAAACTGACTCTCAAACTGGCCAAGTGTTTTTAAACAGTGGGCAGGACCTGGTGGGGCTTCTCCCCAGCAAGGCTTCTGATTGGCCATTGGAGATTTGATTGGCTGTGCCACAGCTGCAGCCATAACTGCCACAGGACAAGGATCTTCAGGTGAGCCGTGGCAGCCATTTTGCGGCCGGCTCCACCTCCTGCAGCAGCCATTTGGTGGGCCATGCCCACCTTGCGGTGCCAAAATCCAAAGGTGCCAACAGGCTCAAATAGGTTGGGCGGGCCCTGCTCTGGACAATCACTCGAGGCCCCGCCATAGTTACAGATTAGTACATAATGTAATAGCCTCTTGAATGTTTTTGGTTCCTGCTTTAACTGCTTCTTTCTCTGAAACAGTGCAGGGGGGGGGAATGTAATTTCAGAAAATCACAAGAACTGTGCTACCTGCAGAGGTTTGTGTCTGGCAGAGAGATCGTTAGTACTGTCTGAATGGGTTTAACAAATGAACTTTTAAGTCCATCTTGTTAACAATCACACAATTGCTTGTGTAGTGATTGAAAGGCTGATAACAATTTGTTGGTGCCTTTATTAGCGATCGATGACCTCATGACGCCAGAAGAGAAGACGAAGCTTTTCACTGCCATTGGCTATAGTGACAGTTCTCATAATCTTGCGTTGCCCAAGAAGGTATTTGCACCTTTTCATAAAAACAGGACTATCAAATCGATGTGTTTATGTTAAAGGGGGGAAGTATTTTTTAACTTTGGGGTTTTCCCCTCCATTGAATGAAAGTTGATTCAAAATGGACTGAATGCCCCGCTAGACCAAATTTCCTGGTCTTTCTCACCAGCAGTTCATAAAATAGGTTTATGGTTTTGTCTGCTTTATGGCTGGCAAAACTGCTGGATTTCACATTTGCGGGGAGGCCCGCATACAATAGAGCTCAGTGCCTGTCAAATTTAATAATAAGAAAAGTTGGTTTTTATACCCCACTTTTCTCTACCTCGAGGAGTCTCAAAGCAGCTTCCGGTCAGTGTTCCCTCTAAGCTGAGTTGGTGTGAGCTAGCTCACAGTTTTTTAGCCTCTTGTTCACACATTTATGTCTTAGCTCAGGAAGTATGGCTCCAGAGCAAACTAATTTATGCAGGAGCCAAACCGCTCGCTCACAATTTTAATGCCCGGAGCTCAGAAAGGAGAATTTTTGCTCACAAGACTCCACAGCTTAGAGGGAACATTGCTTCCGGTCACATTCCCTTTCTCCCCTGAAAACAGGCACCTTGTGAGGCAGGTGGGGCTGAGAGAGTTCTGAGAGAACTGGGACTGGCCCAAGGTCACTCAGCAGGCTTCATGTGGAAAAGTGGGGAATCAAATCCGGCTCTCCAGATTAGAGCCCACCGCTCTTAACCACTTCACCGTGCTGGCTGTCTTGCGGGAGATTCGTACCCCTTGATCTTGTTCTGTGCCCACCACAGAGTGCTGGCTAAGGAGTTTAGGGCACTGCACACAGAGACCCTTTAAGCAACTGTGAAGTCTGGGTTACCATGGCAATGGGTGGGGAGGAAGTCATCGCAGTTTCAGCCTCGTCACTCCAACTGCACAAATACCAGGATAGGGCCGTAGTAATAACAGACCGCTCTACCTGAAGAACCCCTTTATTTGCATCCTTTCCTGACCAGTGGTTCCTTTAATATGATACATTGCTAGGCATATGCTGTGTTAACCAGCCCTTACTGAATATTGTCCACAGCAGAATGTGGGGGTGACTTCTTCTTTTTGTTTCCTGTCTAGTATGTTGCCCGTGTGATGTCTCTGAAGCTGTTAAGTACTTCCTTCACGATTAAAGAAGACAGAAATACTCCAGACACTCTTAAGATCCAGATTATTGATTTAAGCACTAAAATATCACAGAGGCCAGGAGCACAAGCCCTTAAGTAAGTGCTTCATGTAATATTGATTTCTGGTTTTGGGGGGGGGGGTATGTAGGGACATCCGCTAGGTGATGTGTTCCTTCAAAAATAAAATTTAAAAAGAATAGAGGAATAATTGGACAGTGCCTTACAAGAGCCAGGACAACTTTGAAATGCCCACGACCTTTTAAAACTATTAGTTGTGAAAAAGAGGCACATGAACATTTAAAGCAGCCTTATATTGACTCAGACCCTTGGTCCGTCACAGTCAGTATTAAGAGGCTGAGCTGCAGACCGGAAGGTGTGTAGTTTGGCAGTTCGAGACCCGAGTGCCGCGTGATGGAGTGAGCTCCCGTCTCTGGCCGCAGCTCCTGCCAAACTAGCAGTTCGAAAGCAAGAAATTTCAAGTAGATAAATAGGTACTGCTCCGGTGGGAAGGTAACAGTGTTCTGCATGCCGTCCACATGACCACAGAAATGTCTTCAGACAGTGCCGGCTCTTCGGCTTGGAAACAGAGATGAGCACCACCCCCTAGAGTCAGATTCGACTGGCTTTTGAATAAGGGAAACCTTTACCTTTACTATT